GATAAAAGTCACTTCCTCTTGTCAGGCTGCTGACACATCGGCTTCAATGTAGGAAGGGGAGGATGTTTGTATAGAACCACTCTTCAGAAAAGCGAAGATGATCTCCTTCCACAGACAGGAATACCAGCTTTCCTGCCTTGTCCATCTGCTGCAGCCCCAGCTGATCCTAAGAGACAAGGAGACCATCATGTGAACAGGATATGTAATCCAAAGCTCGTTGGTCCCAGTGAGTTTCATGAGACTTAAGTGGTGGTGTTTCACAGTATTGTAGCCATCCTGATCCCAGGACATTGGAGAGACTAGGGGGATGAAGTAATAGCTCTTATTCAACCAACTTCTGGTGAAAGAGGCAAGTTTTTGCGCTACACGCAGACCTGAAGAGCTCTGTGTAGCCCAAAAGCTTGTCTTTCACCAGCAGAATTTGGTCCAATAAAAGATGTTTCTTCATCCACCTTTTCTCTCTTATGAGGACTTAGGTTCAGAATGAGACCCTCACACCAGTTTAACTACATGCTCAGTGACACTGAAAGCTATTTAAATATTGGTTCAATGTAGCTAGAGTGACTCCCTTTTAACATTTGGAGGAAAGGATTAAGTGATACAAAATACACCAGTAACTGCAAATAAAACTCGTGCCCTCCTGTGCTTGACCCTTTCATTCTCATAATACCACACTGTCTAAAACTAGTATAGATCAGCCCGTGCCTTCAATTAGCTCAGGGGTGGACAGGTCACTCCAAGATTTTGGTAAGCAATCGAAGACCACATTTTTCTACGGAGAGGGTGCAGAGTCTGGGATGGAGGTTGGGGTAGGGGGAGAGGTGTGGGGTCTGAGGGAATTAGGGTTAAGGAAGGCATACAGGAGAAGATTCTGGCCTGGGGAAGGACTATAGGAGAGGATGCAGGGTCTGGGAGGGAATTGGGAACCAGGGCAGAGGGTTTGGGTGGTGACCTGGGACAGGAGGGGTAGGGAGCCAGAGGCAGGCTCTGGCCAGGAAGTGCTTACCTAGGCAGGTCCTGGCCAGTAGCCCAGCAGGACTCCCAGGCAGGCTCCCTGCCTGCTGCAGCCCCAAACAGCTGTCTCCTCCCTCCATGTACCTCTCTCCATGGGGAGCCAGGCCTAAACCAGCCCCTGGGAGCTGAGAGATCGTGCTGGGGCCAGCACAGACACAGTAGAGGGACCCACGGAGCATCCAGCCACTGTGAGCATGCTGTTCCCTTCCTGAGGGTCTGGCGGGGCAGGCTATGTATGTCTTGCCCATCTCTGCATTAGGAACCACTCTCTATTTTCTTTCTTCTGGACATCAGTTATTTACAAAAGTTCCCCTGGCACCTTTCTGAAATTCAAGTTTTATTCCCCTCCCTCCCTGCCCCCATCACCAACAGAAAGCACTTCATCATTGCCAGGCAGGGAGCCTTTTGCTATATTATTCAGTAGAACAGACAAATATTTTGAGAATAAGTGGATCAGTTAGCACAGCCCTTGGAGTTCAGGCTGTATGAAAACAGCCCTGCTAGGAAATGCATCTGCTCCTGTGATAAGTATCAGCTTTCAAAATCTAATTTTAAAAATAGGGAACTATAAAATGCAATGAAAGCTGGACTAGGGCAGGTCTTTTCCTGAAAACCACATGCTAGGCTGAGACTGCAATACCATGGTTTATCAAGAGCTCTCTCAACATTCCCTGTGTCTGGTGGTGAAGACCATGGGCTAGGTTCATGGATTGCTGCCAGGAAAGGTTCGTTCATTTCCCCTGCTTAAAAAGAAACACACACCTAAAGGGAGAGGCAACTCAACTGGCCAATGTGTGCATGAGGCTGGAACAAGTTGGAAGTTTGTGCCACTTTTAGGGTATGTTTATGCTACTGGCAGCAATTCATCCTGTGGGGGTTGATTTATAAAGTCTAATACAGACTCTATAAATCGACCACTGATCACTCTTGCCTCGACTCTGGTACTCCACCAAAACAAATGCAAGGGGAGTTGCAAAGAGAATGTCATCCATTAACACACTGCACTGAAGACACTTTGGTAAGTAGGTCTAAGTATAGCAACCCCAGCTACATTATTCTTGTAGCTGAAGTTATATAACTTAGATCAATATAACCGTCACGTAGACTAGCCCTCAGAGATTTTAATTTCAGTGGCCTTACTCCTGATTTAGAGCACTGTCAGCACGATTAGCATTAAGTCCACTGCATACATTGGTGGCCTGGCAGTAATGTACTTTTGGCTAAGTTATCTCCGGCTGAGAGTAAAAAAAGAGAGGCAGCATTAGGATGCTGGTCTGTAATTCATGAGACCCAAGTTTCATTCCTTGCTCTACCACAGACTCCTATGCAACCCTGAGATATTTAGGCTCCTCAGTTCCCTATCTGTTCAATGGGGATAATAGTTGATGGGAAGCTAACCACATCTTTCTTGGAATTAATCAACAGATCAAGCCTTGTCCTTATATAATCCAAATACAAACTGATCTCTTTAATGAGAAAGAGGACGAATCTAAATAGTGGAATTTTGAATCTCCAAGATTCCTGGAGACAGTTTAAGCTATTGACAGGGGAGACATAGAGTTACTGAGTCTCTGGGAATTAAAGGTTAATCTTTAAAAAATTATCAATTGATGAAACCTCCAGGAATGCATCCAATCTAATTTGGCAACCCTAAGGAGACAGATTCTTCCACAGAAGATCCAGCTAGTTACCTCTGTGTAGAGTGAGGTCTGCTGTAGTGGGATGGTCTCCTTGGCTTGCCCACTTCTGTAAAATCCAAACCACTAGAGAAGAAAAAGAAGGAAACGAGAGAGCTGGGCAGACTGTTCTTCTCACTGAGGAAGAGAGCATGCTTTGGCTTGGAGTTCCTCCCCCACTTGAATCTACCAATTACCTCTTCAGATTGAATAAACCCAAGAGAACCCTGCTATCAACAGACAGGGTGGAAACTTTAATATGCAAACAACCCTCGGTTTCCTAAACCAGTTAGTGCCAATGCTGTCCTTACCTAGTGCCTCAGACGACTGCAGCTCTTCAGAGTATGAAATGCTCATCCTTAGGCTTACACTGCCAATGCAGTCACATTGTCTGAGGCCTACATGAACACTCTTCTCAGAGTCATGGTTGGGTGAAGTTAAAGATACTAGATCCAGACTCACTACAACCCTCACCTGTGCTTAACCTGATCCAAGAGGCTGCTAGTACAAGGCAGCCTTAATCCAGATCATGAGGTATTTGAGCAGCTCTCCTCAGACCATAGCTATCCAAGGCACTTATCGCCAATCAGGCTGTCTGGTCTCCACCGAGTGGTTCCAACAGCTCTGGATCAGTACTGGGACTTTTTGGTGCAATGATCCTGTTTGAAGAAATTCTCCCCCTGAGGATAATCCTCTATGGCCAACTCCCAAGTTTGGCACATCCTGAATGGGCAAAGACCATATTCCCTTCCCTTTGCTAGTGGTCTTGCCTGATTTGTTTGTGAAACTGGCTGAATCTACATGTGTGGATTCAGTTTTGGTCTATGCTTAGATTTACAGCATCCTGGATTTGTATTCAAAGTTGGGCACTAGTCAGAACTAGACAAAGGCATTAGGAAATGAAAGCTCTCTGCCTAAGTCTCGCCTGCCTTATCCCAAGCATGTGAGGACTTCCTCACCTCTGAGGCTGGAGGATCTACCATGGTGTCATTGAGAAATTTCACCATCACAAACTTTTTCAAAGCCATCAGGTTTTTCTTGTAGGTCGCATTAATGCCCTGGAAAAAGAAATGTTGGAACAAGAAGAAGGAGAGCTTTGTTAGAAATAGGGCAATCTGGAGTCTCACTGAGATGGGGGCTGCTGCAAATATTGTCAAACAGGTGTCACACTTGTTACACACTAGGGATGTGAACAACTAGTCGACTATCCAATAAGCAAATGCTTATTGGATAGTTGACACACAAGTTAACTAGCTCCCTCTCCCTTGCTGTCTCTATCAGAAAGCAGCAGCAAGAGGGCGGGGAGGGAGGGGGATAGAGGAGGAGGTACTTCAAAGTGGTAGTGCCATGTAGAGCCAAGTGCCAGGCTCCATGCAGCACTGCCGCTTTGAAACGCCACATGAAGCCCGGGGTCTGCCACTTTGAAACACCATGTGCAGCACAGGACCAGCTGAGTCCCCAGCTGACCCTGGGCTCCATATGCAGTGCTGCAAGGAGCACAGGGCTAGCAGGGTCCGCCATTGGCCTCATGCTCCCTGGGGTTGTTGCTACACTTCAAAGGGGGAGGCGCCCTTATCGATTAATCGAAGGCAGAGGCAGCAACACATGGTGACAAGAAGCTGGTGCGCAATAGGAGCTGGTTTTTAAACTGGTTCCCCTTGTGGAGTAGCTCCTACCTGGCACCCTACACTGCTGCCAGCCCCGCGCCTGGGACTATAGAATAGTCGACTAACCAAAAAGAATTCATGAGGTTACTCGGCTATTTGATTAACCAATATTTAACATCCCTACCAGGAACCCACACATTGTAACCCTAGCACTGATACCAATTTCCTATGATTAAATTGCTTATCCCCATTTTACAGATGGGGAACATTTCCCCCTCTCCCTCACGTTGGGTTTGTGAGGATTAACTGGTTACTTCAAGGTGCTTTGACAAGGGAAAGCTATACAAATCTTGATTCTTATTGCACAGGAGACAGTCACCAATCTGCTGCCATGCTGGGGAGAAGATATTTTTCTACAGCCACATGCAAAAATATCTGCAACAGCACTGGGAACAGTAAAAGGCATACTAGGGTGCTCTGCCATGGCCACTCCTACCTCACAACAGAAAGACCCACTAAAACAATTAAACATGAAAGATGCCAGCCATGAAAATAAAGAGAAGAAAATCTCAGCCATTCCAATGTTGGACAGCACTGTTCTCCTTAATGCCTTATTAACATGCCAGGCTGAGTGCGATAAGCATAGCATCGGCCTTTACCTTCTCCTGATTAATGTCAGCCAGGAAGATGCTGTTTTTCCGGTACTCCTCCTCCTTCAGGGGGTCATGCCAGTATTCTGCCTGCACCAGGCTGTAGGGGAGAGAGAATGAAGCTCGCACTGGAAACACACGAGCCAAAGGGGACATCTTGCTTCTGCCTTTGCAGTCCGCACAGGCCCTGCCAAACATACTCACCGTTCCTGAACCACCTTCGTGTAGACTCCAAGGTCCAGCATCTTTCGGATCCAATCACAGATGCGGGAACTCTCCCCAGGACAGCGTGGAAAGCCGTACACACCTAGGGCAGAAAGATAAGCTTCTCCATTCCATGAAAGCACTGAAAGCCACACAATTGCAACCACAAATGAAAAACCTCCTCCTCTTGGCCCAACAACTGGAATTATTCCAAGGAATCCAGTGGTCTTTTAGGTGGAGAGAGAACTGATGATCTTTAGTGGACCAGCAGAGGGCATCATTATGGAGAAGAAGGTCATACACATAAATGGAAATGCCTCCTGGCTCGTTAGTCCCCAAAGCTGCACTATTGTTCCCAACAGCATATTGCTACAATTGTGCATAGTGCATTAAACAGATTCATGCAATGGAGTATCCAGGGAGAGGTGCCCTTGGGAGATTACTCCTGTCTTGAATTTTTCACAGACAGATGTTTCCCCTGGCATTTAACCATTGTCCTGTCATTTCATCCTCTTATCATTCATTTTATCTCCTTGAACCAGTCTGAATAACTCTCCTCCCTCTGGGTAGTTTAATACTTTAAATGCTCATAACTTCAGCTCTCTATCAGCCAATCACATTGTGGCCAATCTGAGTAAGTTTCGTTTTGTGGAAGCTCCTACATCAGATCAGTCTATTGCTCTCTGCAGTCCTGTATATGCTCCAACAAAAGGCAATCGCTGATTCTTCTAATCTAGGTAAAAGGCATCTATTTGGCTAATTGGATAGTCACATACATTGGGAGGATTCCTCCCTGCCCCCTGAAGAACATTTGTCAGTATCTATTTTAACTTGGAACCACTTCAACTGGATCTATCAGCGAACCTACCCAACATCAACCCAGAACACAAGCACTCAATGATCAAATCCTATTAAGATTCAAGCAAAAGCATCAAATTTATTTCAAATTAAAGTCAGTCAAAAAGCAGCTTTCAGTGTGGGGGGAGGGAGGGACGGCTTTTGGAGCAAGGGAAGACAGTTTGTTTTATCCCTCCAGCAGCTCCCACTCCATTGGAAGCAGGGATGACTCTTAGAATCATAGAATATTAGAAATGGAAGGGACCTCGAGAGGTCAAGTCCAGTCCCCAGCCTTCATGGCAGGACCAAGCACCATCCAGATCATGCCTGATAGATGTTTGTCTAACCAGTTCTTAAATATTTCAAGTTATGGAGATTCCACACTGTGATGGGGGATCCAACCCCTGCACTCACAGCAGCCCGGACCTGGCGGGCTGCAGCGCGGAGCTGGGAGAGGCGTGTGATTTAAAACCCGCACGCGCGGCAGCCCAGGGCCGGCGGGCTGTGGTGTGAAGGCAGGAGCGGCGCCCGAGTGGGAGGGCGTCCGTGGCTAGTCAGCGCAGAGACCCCTGGCCGTGAACCGGGCGGGGGCATGCCGAGGAGGATGGATAAGAGGAGGAGAGCAGGGGCTGGTGTTGCTCTCAAACCCCCACAGACCGACGCCGGAGCGACAAACCTGGGAGAGCAAAGACGGAAGGTCGGTCTGGAACAAGGATCAGAAGTAGCCCCCGCGGCGCAGACCGGGGACTAGGGCGGAGCCCTTCACCGGGGACCGGAAGCTGGAGCAGAGACCTGACCCGGAAGAGACCGGCCTGGAACCAGGGGTGTAGGCCCCGAAGAGCCTACGGGTTTGGACCGCGGGAGTGACTAGCAGGTGCACAGAAGCCGGGGAGGGGGTTTGGGGTAAAGTTCGAACGGTCGAGCACCCCACCCCACAGGACCCGGTTACACACATGCACACACCCTAAGCAATTTATTCCAATGCTTAACCACCCTAACAATTAGGAAATTTTTCCTAATCATAGAATCATAAAACACTGGAAGGGACCTTGAGAGGTCATAAGAGTCCAGTTCCCTGCCCTCATGGCAGGACCCCGTACCTAGACCATCCCTGATAGAGGTCTATCTAACCTGCTCTTAAATATCTCCAGAGGTGGAGATTCCACAACCTCCCTAGGCAACTTATTCCAGTGTTTAACCATCCTGACAGTTAGGAAGTTTTTCCTAATGTCCAACCTAAATCTCCTTAGCTGCAATTTAAGCCTATCGTTTCTTGTCCTATCTTAGACATTAAGGAGAATAATTTTTCTCACTCCAAAAGCTGCTATTATGTCTCCTCTCAATCTTTTCTTGGAGGACTCTAGAAATGAAAGAGGGAGTTACCTTGGTGCTGCCCTCCAATGGAAATCAAATTGAACATCGGAGGAGAAGGACATCTCTGTGCCACTGCCCTCCTGGGGAAAAGAGACAGGGTTAGCATCCCACATCCTACACAATTGCTAGTCTATTTGTACAGAGCACTTTAAGCAACCATACTCAAGCGCTGCCTCTGACCAGCTTTAGATTAGTTACTTAGCATAACTGCCTAAGTCCCATCAATGGGATGAACACTTTTGAAAATGTTACCGTTAATCACTCTGTGCCTCAGTTTCCCCATCTGAAGAAATCTTATCTGTGTTATAAGGGTGTGGTGAGGGCTAATTTACAATTGTAATGTGCTCATAAAACTTGTAAAAATACAGCATTTTAAAACAAATGTAACCATGAAACCCAGAGTACACTTAATTACACTTTCTTTTGAACCCCACAGCAGGCGTGGGAGGGACATTCCCACCTGAACTACTATAACCTAAAACATTTGTCTAAAATAAATCCAACTGTAAACTTACAGGAATTGGCCTCCCTGGGAGAATCCCACAGAATTGTAGCCGCCTTGCAAGTGAGGGTCCCTCGCAAGCTGGTCACAAACCAGTGCCACTTGTTGGTTCACATTCATGAAGTAACTGTTCTCCATATCCTGGGAAATAAACAAGAGGAACAGATAAGCAAATTATCTTTACTGTGGGTTCATTTTAATGTTGTTGTTCAAAGGATTTTTAAGATTTCTCCATTGGGAAAGACGCCATAGGCCTTAAATTCCTGGCAGGAGTTTACAGGTAGGACCCTACCAAATTCACAACCACGAAAAATGTCATGGACCGTCCAATCTGGGCTCCTCCGTGAAATCTGATTTGTGTGTACTTCTACCCTATCCTATACAGATTTCATGGGTAGAGTATACAGCATTTCTCAAACTGGGGGGTTCTGTGGTGGGAGGGGTTATTGTATAGGGATTGCTACCCTTACTTCTATATTGCTGCCTGGCTGGGGGGCTAGGGAATGGTGGCTGCTGGCCAAGTCCCCAGTTCTGAAGGCAGCAGTGCAGAAGTAAGGTGGAAATATCATCCTGCCCCCAACAATATCCTCACAATCCCTGCCCACTGACTCCTTTTGGGTCGTGGCCTCTACAGTTAAAACACCATGCAATCAAACAATTTGGTATCTGAAATCAAAATTTACTATTTTTAAAATCCTAGGAGTGTGAAATTGGTAGGATCCTAGTTAAAGGCAGGGATCTGAAAGGTCAACTGGTAAGCATCACCCTTAATGGATAATGGTTATGGTTCCAAATCAACAGTTAACCCGTGGGGGCTGGAGCAGCTACCCTGTCTGCAGCGGACAGGGGCTGCTCCTGCCTAGTAGGGCTAGGAGCATCCCCTTTTATCGGTTAACTGGTTAAATAATTAAATGGGATTTTACATCCCTAGTTATAGGTAGACCCCAGTTTTATGAGACTCTTTGTGATCTCCCAGCCCAACAGTAAGTTGTCATAGACACCCTGATGTTATAAAAGTTTGAATTCCCACCAAACCTGGTTATCTGTACCCTCTATGAATCCAGGTAACAAGACATGTCCCCCATTCTTGTGACTGCTCTTACTTGAACTGCACTCTAATGCACTGCTAGTAAGGTAAGCCTCTGGGCACTCTCATCACAATCAACAATACACGAGTCAGGCTATATCTTTCTTATACTAGTAAAATACAATATAAAATGAGTAAATAAAATGTGCTTAGCATAATAAATAGGAATAGACTAGGGATGTAAGCAACTAATCGACTATCCGATAAGCACAAGCTTATCAGACAGTCAACACACTAGTCACCTCCCTCTCCCCCCTTGCTGCTTCTATCAGAAAGAGGCAGGACGGGGGGGAAGGGGCTGGCTTAAAAGCTGGTTCCCCCCAGCTTCGTGGGAAGTAGTAGGGGTGCAGCGGTGGCGTTCCACCTTTGAAATGTACAAGAGTTCCCGCTGGGGCTCTTGTACATTTCAATGGCGAAATGCTGCATGGCACTTCCACCTTTGAAACGTAGCAACAGCAGGGTGGGCTCTTGCTACATTTCGGAACCGCCCTTATCGACTAATCAAATAGTCAGTGGAAATGCCATCAACTATTCAATTACTTGATTAATCTAATTTTAACATCCCTAGAGGAGACAAGTATCCCCCTTCAAAAACATGGTATCTCCTCACCCAGCTAATATCTTTAGATGTTTCTACATGCTGATCAGAATTTGCATAAAAATCACATTTGAATCAGGGATTTATCATATCCCTGGTTTTCTTCCACATGTGATTAACAAGCAGTCAGTTTCTTCAAGACAAAGTTGTTTGATAAAGTAATGATACAATAATGAAAGCTCTGCCTGTATCTTTATGGATCTATGTCAAAAGCAGGGACTGCAAATTATTTACAGCACCTTTAAGAGTCTGTGCAGAATCTGATCACTAATCAGTAAATACTCAATGGAAGCAGAAGCTTCATACAGGATAGCAGCAACTTTACCTGTAACAAGTTTTTTCCAATCTGTAGTGACAGAACATATATTCCTGGTATTTTATTTTCCACTATTTTTTTAATGTATCCCATGCTTTCAGGGTTACAGCAACTGTCTCCTGCAAAAAGAATGAGGAAAATTCCCATCAAATATCATAAAACCATCACACGCTCGAAGGATGAGGTGCTGAAAACAAAACTTACACACCCAGGAAAGCAACATGTGAGGGTTTTTTCCAAATGTCCATGCAGCAAATATTTGTGCCTCAAGCACAAAGCCTGTAAAGGGACCACCTGAATGTACTTCTTGGTTCCATACTATGATGAACTCCTTTCACCCTCTTGCTGATAAGTTCATGACACTGATTTAGACTATCAAAATACTAAAGACAGCATGAACACTGAAATTCTTACCCAGCCTTCCATGCCTTTCGCTTATTCTCATCCTTATGGAAATCCTTTGCTACAGTTCTTTACATTTTGATTGAATAATCACGTTAATACAAAACCGTAAGTCTACAGACAATACTATAGAGTTCAGGACCCTGATTCCACAGGAATAACTTATTTGTGATATCTTTGGCCCAGACACTTCCTAGTCTAGTGGTTCAAGCTTATGACTGGAAGCTGGGACTTTTACATTTTAATTGATTTGTGTCAGAATTGTGTGTAAGTGTAAGTAAAGCTTTTTTAGATTTTTTTTTATTCATTAAGCAACTGAGGAGGGTCAGACAATTAGTTATTGACACTGAAATTCAAAAAATTAAAAGCTTTATAACCATTAAAACAAACTGTCAACATTACATTTCAAAATATACCAGATAAACATTCTTTTCTTACTTTGATTTTGCCTATCTGTAAATTGTAGTCATTGTCCATGGACATTTTTTCATCAATTTGTACGTAACCGTGAAATCAGCATCTATGGATGCATGCCAATAAAAATCTAATTTTTTCGAACCTTATTGGTATTCATGCTCTTACACTGTCTTCCTCAAATGCCTGGAGCGAGGCTTTCTGTGCCCAAATCACCCAGGCTGTAAACAAGGATAATATCTTGAAAACATTACTAATATTATTAGACTGAACTAACCCTAACATTGCTTATCTCAGGTAAGAAGAAAAAATGCAGGCAACATGATCATATGGAGAGGGCACTGGACAGAGAGTCCAGACTTCCCAGTTCTACCTGGGACCTGACTGGGTAATGTTGGACAAGCTACATCTCTGTGCTTCTGTTTCAGGGATAATGATTTTTTTAATGATCTAGCAAAGTGTTTATTTAAAATCTCATCAGTGCTACAAAACACAGCCATGTTAAAATTGGTTTTGAGATGTAGCTGTAGACAAAAAGAAAGCAAGTGACAACATTATTGAATCATAATCACAACCACGTTTAAACACAATTCATAATGTACACAGGGCCTAAAACTCTCCCAAAGGGTGCTGGGCAGCAGAGTAGATTAAGTCTTTAGAAGCCAACTTGATCCCACATTCCCAGTCCAACCTCACTTCCTTCCACCTCTCATTTCACAAGGAAAGGGTGTGTCCCCGCACTATGGTTTCACTCTCTTGGCACGTAAATGATAATCACGTGGAATGTGGCCGAAAGCTCCAAGGGCAGGGAGCACTGCTTCTTGTTCAAGCCTCTCCCGTGCGCACGCGGCTAAGAGACTCCTTTCACCCTCCCTCCCTCCCGCGGCCCGTCAGTACAAGCAGGCTCTGCACACGGGCTGGGATTAGGGAAGTGAGAGCTCCAGCAGCGCAGAGACTGCGCCAGCTGCTCCTGCAGGGAGGCTGCTCCCCCCAGCTGCCCCCTTGCAGCCCTGGCTGACAGCACCAGCCCGCCCCCTGCAAGCCTGGAGGGAGGCAGCCCCCCCCGCAGG